CTGAATAATTAAAACTCGATACAATCTGCCGTCAGGGATTAAATCAGGCACACGATATCTACGATAGAAGTGGCAAAATATCAATCTGTCATATCTCCAGTGATGCGCCTTGTAACGTAACCGAGAGTATGTGGTTTTATGCAGATATCATCCGCCTTGTATCGCGGGACTGATTGAATCCGCTTTATGTAAAAACATCTCCAAGGCCAGTGTCTACTCTCCGTACGACGTACACACAGGAACCCACGGACAAGTCCCTGCCCATTAGGACGGACAACAAAGAGGTCGAGAGGCCTCACACGGCAGTCTCAGATGGTGTTGGGGCAGTTATGCGTCCCTTTGTCTACCGGATGAAAAGCCATCTCAGTCTAAGTCACCTGTTCACAGCGAAAGAGCCTGTAAATTAGAGCGTAGGATGCACTGCACACGGACGGCACTCACACGTGCGGCCTCATTGCTGGACGGCATGCAAGCTGCCGTGCGGCCTTTTCAGCTCCAGTCCAGGGCTCTGCAATGTAGTGACATGGCGAAGCATTGCAAAAAGAACAGGACGACCGGAACGGCAATTTCTAATTCTATTGACGTCGTCAGTGAGAAACTGCCGTGTCGCTGTTGCTTTTCTCTGTCGGGGATAGTCGGAAGATAGGTGCATTGCAAACGTGTGGACTGCCCGTACGCCTGATGAATTACGATGTTAGTTTACGCTCATGCGCTGGAGTTTTAAAAGCTTTACATGGTCACCCACCCGACAGATCCACATAGTAAGTAGATAACACTTCTGCTGAGCACATCGTCCATCATAGAGGGCAAGTCCACAGAACACCCTTCCCGGTTGTACCCTCCCAGCGCATGATCGCGCAACGGACATCTCCCCCACGCTAGTAATGCGGTTTCGTTTGTCTTTGAACCAGAGTTTTTTGGAACATTTCATTACTGAAATTGCTTGTCAGTTAGAACCAAAGGCTCCCTCCCTCTATATGCGAGGGAGACCGGCTTTTGTGTAGTCATTTAGGCTCACCATAAAATTTACTTGCAAAGTCGAATAATGATTCAGCATATTCAGGTGGTCCAATCGGTGTACAGAGGAGTCTATGTAAGCCCTAAACATCCTTCGCCTGTGCCCTCTTCCTCTCAAGTATCAGCCTACATCTCCTCTATCAGATGTCGGCCGCCAGTTGTGCCCTAGGCTCCATGTCAGTCAATAAGCTTGTCTTTGTCGACTGATTCACAATTAAATCTCTTAACAGAACGGTTGACTAGTTTGGAAGTCTCTCGCTCAGCTGATACAACAAATAGGTTTCTCAAAGTGTTTAATAAGACAAGTAGCTCACAGTGGTATAGGTGACCTCGCGCCATGTTGGAACCGCACAGCCATTATGTCGGTCAAAAAACAAAATTCATTTTTATCTTTGAGCATCAGCCTTTAGGCTCGCCTCCAAAGACTGAGTAGTCCGGAATCCTGAGTTCTAGTATGCGAATGCAACATCCGCGCTGGAATGATTGATCGCTGCGTCGCATTTACAGCGATTTCTATTCCAGGTTCTCCGTTCTTTTTAAACTCCGATTTTCGCGAATTCCAGATCATCATCCACGCCTGTATGTATCATTTAGTTGATTTTCACAGCTTCCTTTTTGCTCAACTCTACGCAACTATCCATAACTTGTAGAATTTAATCCTTCCCCATGCCGCCATGGTTTCGTTTTAGTCCGAGCCAGAATATCTGCCTGGAAAACCCTCCTCGTGCTCCACAGGAGAGGCTTGAGGCACGCAGCTAGAAAGTTAATCGATATTTATCGATTTTATGCGGCGTGATTTTAGCGGCGAGAGGTAACTGTTCTGACCTTCTCTAAACAAGCTTGCAGGCAAACGGAGGGTGTGCGATAGCATCGAAAGTTGTTTGAAGGTCAGTGGCAAATTTTTTTATTACAATGTACGGCATAGAAACTTTTTAAGCGTAAAATTACATTCTCTCCCTAGTTTAGTTAACGAGGTAAAGAGATCTCTTCGCCATTTAGAATTTACTCATATCTCAACAACTTTCAAAAGAAAAAGAATTATAACCTCTCAATGTTATAGACCAAATTTGCCAAATACAACTTATCTCTCTAGCTTATTCTAATTTCATTTATTTTTATCGTTACCTTCAACTATAACATGTTTCTCGGGGATGGGATTGAAGTAATCCAACGCTGGAAGTCGACTAGAGGAACGAAAAACTTAATCTTTCGTTGGGAAACGTGATCGAAAGGCGTTTCATAGGCCAAAGGACCAAGGGCGGACTGATGTAAACTTTATGACCGGAAAGACTAGGGAGTCCTGACTATCAGTGGTCGTACTGGAATAGATTTTTTCTTTTTCTTTATTCGAACCTGTTCTTTTTTCCCGCGGAACTCTCCTGGCAAATATTGCACGAAACGTCAAGAAGACTGGACTTTAATGCAACTCGGACGCCATACATAAAGGCAACGTCTAGGACTCGAGCCTAAAGGGACGACCATTTTACACGCCGGCTTTAAACTTTTTAGACCTCGGACCTAACTGTGATTCTTGACACATGCACTTTTTTCGTACCATATTGCATTATTCGCATCAGCTTTTGCCTTGTTCACTCTTTTTTATTTAATTTTCAATTCAGTTTACTTCCTAGCCTTTTCACGTAAGAAACGCCAATAGGAATTCCTTCGTCTTAGTCCAAAAAGGGGGCCTATTTCCGTGTCCTAAGCCTAGCTGTAAGCCCATAATCATATCGGCCCTATCTCTAAACTAAAACCTAATCGTAGTTATTCTGGGATTTAGCACAAGGTTGCCTGTGTTACGGGGTACTCCCAGTTCCGTGCCCTACCGTCTTTTCATTTATCAACATTTCGACGATACTTTGATGAGACTATTGATTCATAAAACCCCGAAAAACAATTATCAGTTTGCTGCTGTTGTGATTTCTTATGGCAGACACTTCTGTCTTGTAAAAAGTAGGACAAACTTCACTAATTAGAAAGGGTCGCTTCATCCCGACGTCAGCCGGGTCTGACGCAAGAGCATGGCATCCATCATTCACGAAGGCATCCGAAATGAAAATGTTTTAATAGATCTAAGATTCAGATCAGATCAGATCAGATTTATTAAGGGAAAAGTAGGCGAGCGCCTTTGAACTCCCTTTTGGACATGAATTTTATAACAACATGGCTGCTATCCGTATGCCATGGTCAAAATGACAAAAAAAGCTGACGTACATTTCCACACATTCGGTTAATCAAGAATTTGGTGCAAAGACTCAGTGGTTGCTGATTAGTGTTCTGCGACAGCATAACGCATGGGGTTCTGTCCTGCGAAATCAGGTTAAGATGGAAAATTTTAAAATAATTGTCCAAGAACCGTGTGTCATCAACGCTGGTTAAACGGACTGAGTCATCGTGATACAGTCATTGTTCCCTTATCCAAAGTCCTCCAGAGACCTTGTTAGACACGACACCCATCCGATGATAGCTAGACCGTCGTGCCTGGCCATGTCCACATCAAGGTGAGACAGATAAGGTGACTTGGACGTCAATTAGTTTATAGTGAGAGGGGACTTACGCAACACCTACCGCACTTTCTCCTCCCCACCTGGGCCCCCTGACGAGACCCAGTCAAGAGGACTGAAGGTGAGGGAGGGCAACGGGGGCTGGCACGGCCGGAGCCGCACCTGGGCGTACCAGCACACCTTCTCGTCTACAGCAAACAATTTGCCGGAACTTTCACTAACAACAGCAGCACCACGACGGATCAGAAATACGACAAAGATGACAGGACAGCCATCCTCACGACCTGTATACCCAGCGGGGGGGGGGCAAGCACATCTACCAGCAGTGAACCAGGTGTCATAAAACTTCCAGTGCACACCAGGCTGCGAGGGCCATGATTCACTAATCCTGGCATTGTAGGCGCCTACAATCCTTGAGACCTAGAACGATGACACCCAGTCCTGCATTTGCCTGGACCATCATCCTTCAAAGGCTGGGTAGCCAATTAGTCGTCGACTGAGAGGCACTACCCATGTATATACATTCCTGACATGCGTGAGAGTACCAGAGGTCGCATTAAGAAGGAGTCGTGACAGCCTAACTCTCATCCCACCAGCCCGCCATCCCACACAAACACACACAACTGGGCAGACTGCGTAGAGGCGTCAGTCGGCAGGCTTCTAAGCCACGGCCACGGCATTTGGTGCACTGTGATAGTTTTACACTCAGATCCTACATGCAGCAGAGGAGCTGCGTGGAGAAGGAGTCGAGGAGAACACTTCCCGCTTAAGTGAGAGGCGTCGATTGAGTGTTTGCATTGTGCTGTGGTGGGTGATGTTCTTATGTAACGAAGTTATTGGTGGAAAAAGGTGTGCTGAGTGGTGTAGCCGGTGGCGATCTACCCCTGGGTTTTCGTGAATGTGCTTGTGGCCTATCAGGCACATGCGGTGGCTGGATGTGTGAGGACAATGCGTGCAGTTCAGGCGAATTCGTATGGTGTATGCCAGTGTTCCAAGCACTAGTTCACCAGTAGCCATGCAATGGATTCGCAAGTGGTTGACCAAACTGATGTGAGAGGTGAATGCGCGGGGACGGTGTGGGCAGGATAGGTCGAGTCGGTTACAGTGGTGATGGTGATGCGGCTGCTGGTGGTGGGCACGCTGGAAGACGAGGTGTTTATTGAGCCAGGAATGTTGGGTGTGCAAGAGGTGCTAGGTGTGCCGAGATCGCGGTTAATTCCGCTTTTGTGGATACGCATGCGACTGAACAGGCCTATGCGGTGAATAGACGTGCGCGAACAATGAAGGCGGCTGCGGTGAGTGTATGCTGGTGCTCCACGCACTGGTTTGTAAATCTCGGTGCGATGGATTCGCAAGTGACCGGCCAGGCAGATGCGTGAAGTGTATGTGCTGTCGCAACGAAGACAAGTTGGAACGAATCCCACATCGCTGAAGGTGGGGGTGATGATGGTGGTTTTCGGGGTAAAAGGGGCGTTTTGGTCATTGACGGTGGTGGTAGAGGTGGTTTCGTTCGGTGGTTGTGGCAGAAATAATGTAGGTGGCAGTGGCCGGTGGCAGTGTGACACGGGGATTCGAATCAACGTTGGTGAGGGTGGGCGCCGACGTGGAGGTTGGAGCAGGCGTGTTCTTGGAGGCAGCAATGGCAGTCGTCGGTCCGAGGATGACCGAGTAGGCCGATCCACGTGCGAAATGATCATTAACAGTGCAGGATGTTGGATGGGATTGAGTGGCGACGTTGTGAATCGAAGGCGCCTGAGACTTGCGAACAGTCCTTTTAACTTTAGCGACGGCGATCCGGCCTGCTTCGAGATGGCTGCGCCAGTCTTTGCTTCTCTTCTCTAGGCCGGTCTATTCAGAGCGACGTCCTATTAAGTCTACGGGTTGATCTTCAATCGTTTAAGAGAATTCTTCAATGTATCCTTGTTGCGTATTCTTTGTTCCCCCGGTCGGCGAGCACCCGTGGCGACATCACCATAGTAGAGTTGTTTTGGTAGAAGTGTATTTTCCATTTGCACGGAATGGCGGCCCCAACGTAGTTGCAGTATCTTCAACATGGCGTTAATGCTGAGAATTCTGGTCCGTCTTAGAACTTCCGTGTGGGAGATCCTGTCTTGCCACCTCAGCTTTAGTATTCTGTGAATGCGGCTGCGATGGCAATGGTTAAGGTCCCTGCATGGCCGGAGTAGACGGTCTAGGCCTCCGTTCCGTACAGGAGTGTCGTCAAGACGACAGTCTTGTAAATCTTTAGTTTGGTATTCAGCTGGAGGCCATGGTCATTCCACATGTAGATCTGCAGCCGGCCGAAAGCTTGGCTGACTTTGGAGATCCAATGGGCCACTTCAATGTCGATTCTGATTCAGCGTGACATTATGCTGCCTAGGTAGTTGAAGCTATCCGCGGTCTTCAGTTCGGTGCCGTGGACGCAGATGCAAGGGTACTGTATTCAATGGTCGATGGCTGTTGATTTATGACCACCGTATTGTCCGTATGGACGGTCAGTCCGAGGTGAGCGCAGCGGAGGAGAGGAGGTTCATGCTACGTTGCATGTCTTCTTCAGTTGTGCTGTTGAGTGCGCAGTCGTCAGTAAAAGCAGACCGTGAATAGTAGTTGTGAAGAGACGCGTCGGGGCCTGCATTCGCCGGCTGTTGAGAATGTGTCCGTCGGTACTGTAGTCGATGCGGATCCGGAGTCGCTCATCGCAGTAGACGTCCGTCAGCATGGCAGACAAAATGAGACTGAAGAGGATGGGAGCGAATACGCATTCCTGCTTCACTCCAGTGGTCATTGCGAATGCCTTGGAGATAGCGTAGTTGTCCGCGTCGCTCGCCATTGTCTCATCGTGGAGATGACGTACCATGTGCGTAAATCACTCGGGACAGCAGAACTTCTGCATGATTCTCTCCAGTCTTTTGTGATTCGCCATGCTGAAGGCTTTCACCAGAACCACGAAGGTGAGTTCACATCTCCTAGCACTTCTCCTATAACTGGCGAGCGGTAAACATCCTATTGGTGGAGCCCCGGTGACATCGAAAGCCACATTGGCTTTCCGGTAGAAGTCCTTACTCGAGGTGATCGTTGAGACGGTTGACGACGATGCGGGCGAAGATTTTCCCGGCGATGATGAGTAACGAGATGCACCTGTGATTGGCGCAGAGTTGCCGGTTCTATTCGAGCTTGTCCTGATGGACGATGGTTGCGTCCTTGAAATCCGGATTAACTTGTCCGCAACGCCAAACATCCAAAAATAGCGCCGTCAGTTGGGCCACCAGTTGGTGTCCGCCGTGCTTGTCGATTTCAGCTTGGTTCGCATCGGAAGCGGAGGTTTTCCCCGTTGAAGAGTTGTTGCATGGCAGGGATGGTTTATGGGAAAGAGGGAGGAAAATCCAGGTCGATGTTGACTTTCACTTGGGGGAACCCGTCGGTGGCGGCATCGGAGATTGTGGAGGGACGGTTAAGGACGGTTCTGAAGTGCTCGATCCAGCGCCTCAAAATCTATGACTTCCCCATCAGAAGTCTTGATCCATCGGAGTTGAGAAGCGTTGCAGTTCCTTTCTTTGGGAAGGGAGGACCGTAGATCGTCTTGATCGATGCGAAGAAGTTCTTTGATTCGTTATGATCGGCATATCCCTGGATCTTCTCGGCCTGACGAGCCGTCCAGGTGTCCTGCATTTCTCGCGACCGTTTCAGTGCAAGGCGGCGACATTGGTGCATGGCCGCTTCGTAAGTGTCGCTTGGACGGTCGATGTAGGCTCAGTGCAGCCTGTTCTTCTGGGCGAGCAGGTTACTGGTGATTGCGTCGCCGTCGTCAAATTAGTCCTGATACTGGCGACGTGCGCAACCGAGCACATTCAGGGCGGTCGAATGAACGGCTTCCCATGGTTGGCACCATCGAGTCTCACCGGAGGCGTTTTCATCTGCTGCTGACAGGTCTTCCAGCCGCTGGGTCAGTTGATTGCTGGAATGCAAATGGTG